CCCCCACCACCCACTTTTTGTGATGAATTTGTAGAACATTAGAATGTGAACAATTAACACTAGGTCTGCCTAATATGCTGGTCATGCCCAATTGGTTATGTATGGGGCTGTGAAAGTAGAGCCTAAGGAGTTCATGCAGTCTTCTTAGTCCTTTGGTGTTCCTCACCCATTCATGTTTTATATTCTATCCATTTTAAACACTTTTTTTTTAAAACTATGTGAAGTTAAACTAGGGCGATTAATTCGAGACTACATGATGTAATTGTTATCTTAAGGATTTAAATATTTAATTGTTTGATTTTGAAAATATAAATATGGTTGTTCAATGAAAATATAAATTTGGTCACACACACACACAAACATGCACACACACACACACATTATATTCGAACGTAAGGGTGATGCATTCCAACGTGAAGATGGTGCGCTCGAATGTCAATGTATGGTGAGAGATCCGTGATGAGGATAGTCTAAAAGTATTCCTAATATTACATAAAATATTACTCCCTCTGTCCCGTTTTAAATTGTCCGTTTTGACTTTTGGACATATTTAAGGAAAAGAAAAAATAAAGTTGATTTTTCAAAATTGTCATTATTTTTTATGAAGGGTGACGATGAATTAGAAGATGAAGTAAAAAAGAGTGACTTATTTTAGGGGTAGTTTAGGTATTTTAATTTTAATAGTTTACGATAACAACTAACAGCCAACTTATTTTGGAACGAAGAAAAAAGGCAAACAAGTAATTTAAAATGGGACAGAGGAAGTATCATTTATATATTACGGAGTATTTATTTATGTTAAGGAAATAAGGAATATTATTTTGACTTTAATATTTTCTCTTTTTTATTATACATATGATAATAAAATACATTACGGAGTAATATATTACCATAAAAAAATCACCATTGCTAAAGCTTCAATGAAAGATTCTGCATTTTCTTTAATTTTTCTTCTTCTTCTCTCTAAGAGCTGTCCTTGACACGTTGCAACTTCACATTATTCTTCACACTATATTCACGAAATTTAAAAATATTTAAAACTTTATGGTGGAAACTTATGCACTCGATATAAAAGAAGAGAATATAATAAAATTTTATTATTGAACATAAATATATATAAAAAAAGTCATAATTTAAAGATGAAACACAAAGTTTATGAGAAGACTGCGTGTAAATAATCGTATCAAATAAACTAACAAGGGTGAGGTGGCAGTAGTGTCCGGATCTTGTTCAAACTATCTGCATGGAACCTAAAACTAATTGCAAAAGAACAAAAAGAGTTAAAGTTGATTTCTATATTTCTTATTTTCTTTTGAATTTTTTGTGTCATTTGTCCCTGCATTTTTAAAAAAACTTTGTGGATTCAATCCAAACTTTAAAAATGTTACACCAACGGTTCCTCTGTGCCAGATTCGGGTGTGCGATAATCACATGATCATCAATATACGTGTGGGAGTTTATGCCATTATTGATGAAGAGGTTGATCGATTTAAAACATTGATAACAAAGTTTGGGAAGGACATACTGTAAAACTCACTGCACCGCTGCACGTGTGATATATGATATGAGTTGAGATGAACTCATACTTGCACTGGATTAGTGCGCGTGTGATTAACGTACTTCTGAATCTGGCATTGAGGGACCGCTGTTGTAACATTTTTAAATATTTAGGGGGGTATTGGTGTAATTTTTAAAGCTTAGGACCGGTGAATCCCTACAAATTTCAACAAGTTCAAAAGTGAATAACGCAAAAAACTCTTTTCTTTTTTAAAAAATTCTAAATTTTCATTTTGACTATTACGATTTTCAAAAAATAAAATTTCGTAATTTAAATTTCTGAAGAGAAAAAAAGATGGCGTGGAATAAATATTTTAAATTTTTTTTTGTCGTAGAGATTTAAAAAAGTAAGTAAAAAACTTAAATGTAGAGTAATTTATATCGCTAATTGGTATACTCCTCTCTCTCTAAGATTTAAATCTTAATTAACTTAATTGGATTATTCCTTTTGGTTTTTGTTTTAGAATCTTCTTGTGGGGAATGGGACATTACCAGCTAGCTCATGGTCACCCATTCACTTACCCGGGCCACGTTTATATATCTATCACCTTACTATGGCTCCGTTCCGTTCAACTTATTTTTTCTGATCTGATCTGATTCTAATAAGTTCTGATCTGATCTGGTCTGATCTGATCTGATCTGATCTGATTGGATCTGATCTGATCTGATCTGATCTGATCTGATTGGATCTGATCTGGTCTGATTGGATCTGATCTGATCTGATTGGATCTGATCTGATCTGATTGGATCTGATCTGATCTGGTCTGATCTGATTAATTATGATTTAATTTAAAATTTCAAATCAATAATTTAATTTGACTTTATAATAACGTTTGAAAATTGTAATGATAATTCATATTATAATATAATCAATATTTTTTATTTAATGATTATTTTTTAATAAAATAAAAATAGTTAATTCATATATTAGAATAATCATTCATATTATAATGTAATAATATTTTTTATTTTATG